TATTTGTTTAATTCATAAAAGATTTATCGATTAATCACATCAACTATACCATCAAATTATAATACTTTGTAATCAACATTGAATATGCAACTAAAGATCTTATCAATTCCTGTAAATCATCTCAAAAAATTACAAGTGAATTATTCGAATAAAGTGCAGTAACAAACTTAGAATGAAAATTCAAAAACCCTAAAATATATTCTAGTGGTCGATGAGTAGAGAGCGAAACTAGATTGTCTAAAGGTAAACGTTTTTAGGAACCAATGTTGCACCAAATTCAATAACGTAGTCATATCGACCAGGGTCGGTCTTGATCGCAAAAGGAGCGGAACATGAATAACAGTTGAATTTGAACCTCCATATTGGTATGTCAAATAATGTTTCCCATCCCGCCTCTTCCTTGGCTGCTTCAAATCTGTTGCCCTTTCCCATGCAGAAGCCACAATGTTCGCAATACACGTTGAATGGCAGCGTCATCTTTAACTTCTGCATTTTCTCCACCATTAGCTTCTCCAGAATCTTGTACAACGAACTTGCACAATGCCTGACCAAAGCCCACGGCTGCACCCCATCTCTGTCACTAGTTATCATTATAAATAAGTAGACAGGATAAGTTTATTTAGCTAATAATAGTACATTGGAATCTAAGAAGGCTGAGGGAAAAACCCTGGGGAATATCCAAAGCCGATCTACGATGAGGCACTTTTAGGTTTATAGATAAGATTTTGGAAGTTCGTAAATACAAATATATATTTTTAATTTCATGCACAAAAATAATATTAAATTAATAAATATTTTATTTATTAATAAAATATGTGTTAATACTATATTCTAAGCTCAGCCAATCCAACCCATAGTTGAGACCTTTTTCTTTTCAATTTCCAAAACTTGGATTTTCTATTCTATCTTGGGTTAGTTGCATCATCGATCACTAAACTTTCAGTGAATGTACTACTGGATCACTCATTTTTTACTTTCAGGCAATGAGGTCATTCAACTTTGATTTACATACATCCTTCACTCTATCTACTGTCGTCATATGTTCATGTGGATGTTAAAATTATTAGAGCAATGATGTGTTTTAAAGAATGAAATACGATTGGTAATGTTTTTCTTATTTTAAGCCTGTTGTTTAATGAGCCAAAAAGAAAATGTATTTTTGAATCAAATTACACCATCTCTGTAATAGGTAATGCTGGCTGCGATATTAATTTCACTCAATATTGGATCTTTCTACTAGGTGTTTACGTACACTGAAGTCCTATTAAGCGGTTTGCCAAGATATCATTATCTTTGATTTTGTATTTAGGAGCATAAGAAGTCAATTTTGTTTTGGGCGCATTTTTTAAAGGGAAAATTGCAACCAGGTACCAAACCTTTCGATTTTATGCAGACATTGCCTAAACCTTCATTTTGTTGCACTCGTGGTACCAACCTTTCAAAAACTCGCACCTAGAGTCCAAATGGATATTTTTGTTTGTTTGACCGCTAGTTGACTCAAGAAATTGATTTTGACCAATTTTAAAGGGACAAAATGGTAACTTTGAATTAAAATAAAATAGAAAAAAAGCCAGCCCTAGCCCTACCAAAAAGAGTATTGTTGACCATCTCCTTCACACCCTCACCTAAACTAACCCACGACCACCACAATCATTGTCATCGTTCGGCCTGCCGCTTCTACCAAAAAACTCGACATCTTATCATGAATATCATCATTCCAAATCACAAACCCATCAATAAATCATTTTCTTCCCATTAAGAATTTCCAAGTCAACGTTATCTACGGTGGCGGAAACCACCTTACGGCCACACCTACCCTTCTCGGACCACCACCAGTCGACTCCTACATCACACGTCCTCAATATGATTGATGATTCAATAGAATAGGGCCAAAACATCGATGAATTTTTTGGGATTTCGCATCCAGGAGCGTGTGAACATGGGCTCTCATATCCAATCCAATTGATGTTTTTCCAATTGTTCAATCCACAAATTCACCTATGGGAACTCATATTCATACTCAGACAACTATAGGTACACAATCAATTGATCCAACTGTAGCTCAATTGCCTTGTAACTCGATTCCTAGAGTAGCAACTGGAGTGGTTCTATCAATTGCAATTGACAGCCAAAATGTTGTTCTTCCATCCGATGAGATCCACTGGTTGCCCAAGTGGGCCCCCCTTGCTTTGTGAGAGCTGAAATGCTACCCAGCGATAGCTCAATTATTCACACCATAAATCACATTGACTATAATGAATTTGGGTTGGGCTGGGGTGAACTGTACCTTCTTTTTTTTTTTTTGGGTTGCATGTGACTTCAGGATAATTCGCATTTGCCAAGATGTCATTATCTTTGATTTTGTATTTAGGAGCATAAGAAGTCAATTTTGTTTTGGGCGCATTTTTTAAAGGGAAAATTGCAACTACGTACCAAACCTTTCGATTTTAAGCAGACTTTGTCTAAACCTTCATTTTGTTGCACTCATGGTACCAACCTTTCAAAAACTCGCACCTAGAGTCCAAATGGATATTTTTGTTTGTTTGACCGCTAGTTGACTCAAGAAATTGATTTTGACCAATTTTAAAGGGATAAAATGGTAACTTTGAATTAAAATAAAATAGAAAAAAAGCCAGCCCTAGCCCTACCAAAAAGAGTATTGTTGACCATCTCCTTCACACCCTCACCTAAACTAACCCACGACCACCACAATCATCTACCAAAAAACTCGACATCTTATCATGAATATCATCATTCCAAATCACAAACCCATCAACAAATCATTTTCTTCCCATTAAGAATTTCCAAGTCGACGTTATCTACGGTGGCGGAAACCACCTTACGGCCACACCTACCCTTCTCGGACCACCACCAGTCGACTCCTACATCACACGTGCTCAATATGATTGATGATTCAAAAGAATAGGGCCAAAACATCGATGAATTTTTTGGGATTTCGCATCCAGGAGCGTGTGAACATGGGCTCTTATATCCAATCCAATTGATGTTTTTCCAATTGTTCAATCCACAAATTCACCTATGGGAACTCATATTCATACTCAGACAACTATAGGTACACAATCAATTGATCCAACTGTAGCTCAATTGCCTCGTAACTCGATTCCTAGAGTAGCAACTAGAGTGGTTCCATCAATTGCAATTGACAGCCAAAATGTTGTTCTACCATCTGATGAGATCCACTGGTTGCCCAAGTGGGCCCCCCTTGCTTTGTGAGAGCTGAAATGCTACCCAGCGATAGCTCAATTATTCACACCATAAATCACATTGACTATAATGAATTTGGGTTGGGTTGGGTTGGGTTGGGCTGGGGTGAACTGTACCTTCTTCTTTTTTTTTGGGTGGGTTGGCTTTTTTTTTTTATTAAATTTAAAGTTACCATTTTACCTCTTTAAAATTGGCCAAAATTAATTTCTTGTGTCAACTAAATGTCAAACTAACAAAACCCATCCATTTGGATTCCAGGTGCGAGTTTCTGAAAGGTTTTGATACCGTGAGTACAACAAAATGAAGGTTTAGACAAAGTCTGCTTAAAATCGAAAGTTTTGGTACCACTGTTGTAATTTTTCCTTTTTTAAATGTATTTTATAAGGTGGGTGACGTGGATTGTTGTGTGACACACCATTAGTTTTGACATCCACATTAACAAATTACGCCAGTTAAACTAATGGTGATAGATGACCCGATTGCTTGCAATTAAAGATCAGTAACCCGGTTTCATGTTCATTGAAAATTCAATGACCGTGATACATTTGTTGTATTTTGGTGCTTTATATATATATATATTAGATGAGTCATGTCAGGCCAACGTGGTTCACGATTAGAAAACCTATTGAGCACGGCAAAAAAATTTCTTGTCTGATGGATTTGATTTTGCAAGAGCAAAGAAGATTGAACATAAAGAAAAGAACAATGCTACTCCCAAAAAAAAAAGTTAAAAACCCACCCCCATCTCACATTTGCACCGTCAAACCTTTTACAGGCCTGATAGTGCAGCTCGATTCTAAAGAAAAACATAAATTTTACTGAGTTTGGATAGTCTGATTGTCTTATACCTCCATTTTCGATCAAGGTTTTTGTTGAATCACTTGGTCTAAAAATTTAAGATCTTAGATAGTTTCAAATGTACATAATTTAAATATTATCGTCAATACTCCCCCTCACATGTAGGATATATATTGCATCAAAGTCTAACATTCGTCCAATTAATTAAATGAGTGATTTTATTTAAAAATTTAAATACTTAATCGACTTAAGATTTACGTTAAATTTTAAAGGGGTATATTCAATTGAGACTTTAAAGACTTTTTGTGATTTAAAAAGTTTAGGAGTATTCAATGTAGATTTTTTGGAGACTCTTACAAAGTATTAATGTATTCAATTGAGATTTTTATAAACTTTTAAAAAATTTCTAGAAGTCACGATATATTCAATTAATTTTTTTTGGAAGTCTCTATAAGTTTTGGGATATTCAAATTTTAATAACTTTTAGAGACTTATATAAAAGTTTCCATGGTACTAACTTTTAGGCAGAAAGTACTAAAATAAAATTTCAAAATTTGTCTCTCATTAATCACAAGATTTTGGAAGACTTTACGAACATTAGAGTTATTATTATTATTATTATTATTATTATTATTATTATTTAATTAATTAATTAATTAATTAAGGTCTTAAATTTTTATTTTTTATAAAAATATTTTATTATTATATGGGGGTGGGGTGGGGTGCACTAGATCTACATAAATTCTATTTCAAATTAAAATCTTCAAAAGTCTTTTAAATTCTACAAAAGTTTATAGAAGTTTTAAAATGAATGTTTATAAAAGTCTACAAAAGACTTCCACTAATTCTATACGAATCGCTAAAAAATCCATGAAAAGTTTCAATTGAATACAACCCCTAAGTTTCCAATTGGAGAAGCACGATAGATTGTGATTGTGGAGGACGACTTTGAAGACAAAGATCCAAATTAAAAGTGGCCAATGGAAATTGAGATAATATACAATATTGGAACATATTTTATATATGGTGATACCTAATCATTGATAATATTCAAGACGCTTTGCATACTTATTGGAGTATAAAGTCAATAAATTTGAATTCACATCCTTTTGATAGTTCTAATTTAGTTTAAAAGTCAATAAAATTGAACTCAACTTTGTTTGATAGGTCTAAGTTCCACAAATTTAAGCAGGAATTAATCATGGTTGAAATTTTCGTTCAAGTTTGGAAGTGAGCGATTTATCCTTAAAAAGGGGAAAGAGATTCAACCGCTAAAGGAAGCTAACATATTGATGATTTGAAGTCGCCCTCCTAAAGAGGAGAGTCGGTTCCTTTTTTGCCGATTATTCAATCAACTTTATGTATTTTATCTTTAATATCTTTCCACGTGTAGAACAGACAATTTTTTTAAAATAAATTTGAGACATTTGCTCAAACTATTGCGTCAAATATGTTCATTTAAATATATATCGTCAACGAATATGGATACATATAATACCATCGATAACTTCAGTTCGATAAATATGATTTTTTTTTTTCTTAGAATAACACAAATTTGGTGGTAGGACTATGACATAGAGTTAATTCATTTTATTAATTATCCGTCTAGTTATAATTTGCTACTCCGACATATCGATAATTTGACCAAATAAATATTTTCCCATTTGCAAATTTTCATGATAATTAGCAATGCTTATAACTTTTAGTAATTGTAAACTTGTTTTATTCAATAAGTGGGACCTTAAACCTCTTCAAGCAGAACAAGAAATCAGTAAAACCTTGATATTGTCAAAATGAGCAGACGTATGTCTTTTGAAAAGTCAAAAGTTGATTCCGAGATTAAAAAATTATTTTTGAACATGTATGGATAATTTAATGCTTACACGAAGTCTTTGATTAATTTCATTTAATTGACCATAGAAGAGAGGACCACATTATTATTTTATTAAAACTAAAATGTAATAACATTTTTATATTTGCAGATAGAATCCAATGGTTGGACTTTATAGTCGTTTTGATCTCGAGGCTACATGGCTCAACGAAGCCGGCTTCTATTTGAGCCATGCACGAACACAAGGATTAGGGGGTACGTGGCAATTTTAAATTGATGACAGCTAACACCCCCTTCTTGAAAATGAAATTTGATGAATTTTTTGGGTTTCGACAAAAATCAATTTCTGACTTTTTGGATTACAATGGGACCGATTTTTAAATCGATTGTTCATTTTTTTTTTGAGAGTAATGTTTTTTAATTTAGGAGCAGAGTGAGGTGGCAAGCCCTTTTAATTTTTTTAGGTAAAAAATACGAAATTTTTTTCTTTAAATTTTTTTCTCTATACGATAATCGTCATTTCATTTATCTTTTTTATGAGAGAGATTGAGTACACATTGAATTAAGCAATTTGTACACCTTGGTTGACAAATTGAAAACGTGAGTGTTATCATGATTGGATTAATTGTGTGAGATGTGAAAAATAATGTGAGGTTATACCAAGTGTAAATTCGATAAATCAGGATATGTGTAGCAAGGTTTGTTCACATTTAGTGCAGGGATAAAAACGGGACACGTTGCTTCAAAGGGAAATAGGGACGGCACCGAATCCTTTTTGACTTGAACTTGTTCACTTCTGCCCTTATCTCACCCCTATATATACACCAAGTACAGACCCTGCACTTTCTGTCCTCTCACTCACACACAGAATAGAACCTGAAAAATTGGCTGACCATTCAAATGGGAAGAACGCCATGTTGTGAAAAAAATGGGCTCAAGAAGGGTCCATGGACCCCAGAAGAAGATAAGAAACTCATTGATTATATTCACAAGAATGGTTCTGGAAACTGGAGAATTCTTCCTAGGAATGCTGGTTAGTTTGCGTCTTTGATTATTCTGTTTGGTGCGATTAAAATCTTGTTTATTATACTGTCAAGTCCAGTTCAATTATATTTTGTTTCTGCAGGACTTCAAAGGTGTGGTAAGAGTTGTCGATTGCGTTGGGCAAACTATCTTAGACCAGATATCAAAAGAGGAAAGTTTTCATTTCACGAGGAAGAGGCAATTATTCAACTTCATAGGATATTGGGAAACAAGTACGTTATTCTTTTTTTTCTTTTAATAAGTAATGATGTTAACAAACATCTTACGCGTTTCTTTTATAACAGATGGTCAGCAATTGCTGGTCGGCTCCCGGGAAGAACTGATAATGAGATCAAGAACCATTGGAACACACATATAAGAAAAAAACTTCTTCGAATGGGGATTGATCCAGTGACTCACCATCCTCGACTTGATCTTCTTGAAATTTCTGACTTTCACCCATTGGTTAGCCCTAATTTGCTTGGTTTAGCCACTTCTCTCTTGTCCCAAAACCAAGATTTTATACTACAAAACAATGCTGTTCAAGAAACTCAAATTTTCGACAATTCCCATGTTCAAAATCAAAATCAAATCCCACCGCTGATCCAACCCTGCTATTTCCAATCACAAAATCATCAAGATTTTCTAGGATTTAACGGAATTCCATTACCATTTACCTATACAGATGAAAACTATGATACTGCAGTAACAAACTATGAATATTATGGGTCGGGTCAATCCATTGTGAATCCTCCTCCATTAGAGACTTCAACTTTCCAATCGAATATGTCAACACCTTCATCAAGTTCAACTACACTGCATTCAAATTCAACATATATTACTGAAGACATTGAGAGAGAAAGCAACTGCAGCAACGTGTTGAATTTCCAAATTTCGGATATTTTGGATGTCAATGAATTCATGTAACTTGATTGCACGTTGTGCATGAGATTGGACATTATAATTGTGGAGATTTTAGTTTATTTTCGTCCAGTAGTGTACTAATCCACGTGGTTCGAAGTTATCCAATTACTATACGTAAGTTCTTAGTCAAGGAATTATGGCAATTTTCTAAAGGTCTCTTCCAGAAAACAACTATCCTAATTTTTCTCTGTTTCAACTTTCCATTAGACATGAATCATAATTAAATATTTTCTTCTCTCATCAGACATAACATCTTACATACATACTAAGAATGTGTTTGATGCACATTAAAATGGAAAGATTGTATTCTTTTTTGTGATGTGATGGTGAATATGATATTTAAAAAGAAGAAAAAATTATTGATGTGATGAAAAATATTATTTTATTGAAAAATGTGTGGTTGAAAATAAGTAGAAAAATGAAAATGAGAATGTAGCTCAAACAATGGCTAAGATGGTCTTATTTTATATATTATCTTATAACGTGCAACCATCTCATTTACAAATTTAAGTCGTTAAAACAAGACAAATTTGATCTTTTAATTGCGTGGATATCCGTCAGAAATTTTGACGACAGTGAATAACCGTCACATAAAGTGTCAATTTTTTTACAAAAAAAATTAAGGTATGGTAGTATGTTACCAAGCACACCTCACCTCGGGGGCTTACAATTAAAATTTGGGATTCCATTAGAAAATGTCAACATTATTAAGGCAGTGTTTGATAAGGCAACTTTTTTTGGGAAAAAGGAAAATGAATTCCATTTCTAGCAAAATTGTCTTGTTAGATGGCAAAAAGTTGACTGTAATTAATTTTCTTGGGACTCGGCTCACGCGCCATCTTTCCTTGAAATTGTGGAAAATGATTTCCCACGAAGTGTGGAAAAAAATTTCACTTTAATGGACAATTTTGATGCAAACGAAGGCCAAACGAATACAAAATTTAAAAATTTTTTGGCTGGAAAATTATACAAATCAAACACACATAATTAACAATTCCCTACAAAACGATTTCTAGGCAATTACTTTCCCTAGAATTTATTTTCTTTCCACCCATTTTCCACCTTTACAATCAAACGGACCCTGAGAAAAGTAACCAAAGATCTTGTATGTCGTGTACATGTGAGATTTATTCATTAATAAGCACACGACACAATTCAATGCCCATATACTCGCTCTATTAATCCCCGACCTCGAATTATTACAAGTGCAATGTGGCATGGTTATGAACCGATGCACCGAGATTTACTGTTTTAATTTCAATATCGAGTCGATATTTGAATCGGCTCATCTAGAAGTGTAATTATTTTTTAAATTGTATCGTACAACGACTTCAAGAATTGAGGAATGTGTTATTGCCACCTGTTATATTGCCTTTCATTTCACGTGAAATAAACTAATATATTGTACTATCTGCATAGCTGTGATAAATAGAAAGGTTTGACTAACGAGGGTCACGTGTCCAATTACTACTTGAAGAAAAAGGTCTAATTTGCTTTATTGAATATTATGGCGTGGCTCCTGTGCTATTTTTTGTCCCTCCCAGGCCAACGGTCAAACTTTAGGTGACGTCAGATCTAGACACGTGGTCTTTCTGCTTTTAAGGATGTGGTCCCCACATAAGGAGGTGAATGATTGTAAATGGGCTCTTATTATGTTGTAGAGGGTCGACCCGAATCCAAAATAGTGCCATGCGTGAATATTCACTTACGTCGATTGTTGTATTACTTTTTATTTTCTACTTTACTTTCTTTGATTCCCAACTTTTTAAAAAGTAGAGTAATATTAATTTTATCTCAATCAAATTTTCTGATTTGACGAAAAATATATGGAATGTAGGAAAAAGGAGAAGTTTCACTCCAACACAATTTTCACGCATTTGACCCATTTTGATTAACGCATACAACTATTTCTCTAGAGAAGATAATCCAACGATTAGATTGTATACAATTATTGTCGCAATCTCCAATAGACATCCTCTTTCCTTGTTCCAATGAATTTTTTTCCAATTCCTATGTCATTTTCTATGCCTATTTTGACTCATTAAAATTCGATGAAGAAAATGTTATGTTGTGTTACACATTGTTTTTTTCCTTTTTAAATTTAATTTCTATAAAAAATTGAAAAAACCATAATACATTGGGAAAAAAAATCATATTTAAAGTGTATTCTTTACTTCAATTCAAAAATAAAGTAAATAGTTTAAAAATTCAAAAATCAGATATTTATTTAATTAATTAAAAATATTTATTAAACAAGGATAATAATTAATAAAGTCACATTTTGTGATTAATGGTCACATATTCATAATTTTAAGTTACAGATTTATTTACTGTTCACATATCGTCAAATTTTTTGATCCCGAATTATTTCGAGGTCACGTATCAAAAAATTTGTAGGTTACAAATTATTTAGAAATCACAGATTTTTAAATTACTTGGTCACATATTATTTCGAGGTCACAGATTATTAAATTTTTAGGTCACGTTTGAGTAATTGGTCAAAGATTAACAAAAATTTGGTCACAGACTATCGCCTACCACTGATACTTGGTCACAAGTCACAAATCGACCAACACAGACTACCCAGCCAACAGCCCACCACCAACAATAGATCCGCCACCAACCACCACCCCACAGATCCACCAACAGCAAACAACAACCAATCCGTCGCCAATTCGCCACACCCACGACGTCGAACCAACACCCACACGCCCCAACACACCTCTACTACGCCACCGCAAAATCACAACCACAAACCACCACACTGCTGTGAACTCAATGATTGAGAACAATGCTATGTCACAGAGTTTGTATGAGCAGACAAATAAGAAATCGCGCTACGCCACCACACTGATGCTGCTGTAGGTTGCAACAGCATGAGACGCTGCTTCAACTCGCGAAATCAAGCTGCTTCGCTAATCGCAGCAGAGGCGAATCGCTGCTGTGATTCTCAACAGGGGGAGAGGAGAGGAGGGGAGGGAGTTGAGTGGAAAATTAGGGTTAGCGTGTTTATATAGCACCTGATTTTTTAAGATTGAAATTTAGTCCCTGATTTTTGAATTTGAAACTTATAACACCTGCCTCCATGTAATTTCCTCTAATACATTTCAAGATGGATTGGGTTCGAGTCGGGCCTAAATTAAGCCCAACAAAAATAAATAGCATGTCATAATTCAGATCTAAAAGAAATCGTAATAATAATTCCTGCTTATTCAATTGCCTAACAATACATGTAAATATATTCAGAACAAGTATCTAGAAATAGCCTTGAAAAAATGCCAATAGAGCAAAGAAACAAATTGGCAAAGATAAGAAATGGAAGAATTCTAAGTCATTTTATATACAACTTTATAATGGCTACAAACCCATATGAGCTCCAAAAATCTTCAGAAATATGTCAAAACAAGCTAGCAGATTTTCCAACAATATATCTGCAGAATTTGCAGCTCCCACTGCACATTAAACTGCTTCAAAAATCTACCTCGGACGACAATAATGGCAGGAGATGGGTAGAAAACTGTAAATCATAATCCATTCCACAATTTGTGAACTTCTTGTTGAAATAATCATCGCAGTTTAGAAGAGTTTTGACTCAACTATAAACCATATTGTTGTAAAAAACTCAACAGCGAGAGATCATAATTTTACTTCAATTACCTCCTCTTAGTCAACGAGCCAATAGACAGCCGGCTCAAACGCTTTCACTGCGATAGACACGAATTTGATAAAAGAAAAATCAATATCATGGGAGAAGAAAAAAATGCATGTATTCTAGCTCTTCAATCTTATACTTACAGAAGGAGAAATCCATGTAGGCTGACAGTAAATCACAAGCTACGCAGATTAATCTCTTCCGATGGTGGGTGCTTCCAATTTCATTGAGTCCATCAATCCTGGAGTGTGAATTTAGTAAACGATTGGGGGAAATCCTTTAAAACTAACATTTCTTCTCCATTCAATAAAGACTCTCAAGCTAATTATGTTTTGCCGGTAATGGATGCGCACCAATCACATGACACACACGGACAATAATTATGAACCTGTGAATGGCTAAAGATCTAGAATTCCCTAAAACTTTTGCCACAGCCCACAACTTTTGGGTAACACATTTCATAAGCAAACTAGTAAAGGAAGCATGCAAGAGTTTTTGCGTAGAAGTAAATATCAAGTTCCACACAAACAAATGCAAACAAGAACAAAGTTAGAAACTTGTATAAGAGGAGGATTACTTGCTCTGAGTGCATAAGATTACAGATATCTTCAATTGCTGCATTGATTCCATGAAGGGTCATCCTTTTCACCTGTAAAAGTCATTTTTCATAGTTGGTTTTCTGTAATAAAAAATTGAGAAGGGGTATTAAGAAGAGGGTACATAACAAAACGTACTTCCAACAATCTTTCTCTTGCTTTGTGCCGCATAGGAAGTAGGCGGATTTCATCATTCAGTTTAACGCATTGAGTGGCATTTTCAGGTGAGATGAAGTCCAAAACAACTCCGACACATGACTGAAAAAGTCCAAAAGCTTGCAACAATGAGTAGCTCAAATCCACTAATTGCAATATTAGATACTAATTCAAGAACCAAATAAAGAGGTAATCTTCTTATAATTGGCAAATGTACTGCACAAATCTAGCGCTCTACGCCCAAGGCAGTAGGGGCCCCTAACTTGTCTTCTTATTTTTCTACATCCATCCTTTCCTATATACAAATAATTTGTTCTATGAGAAAGAGCTCCAACTTCCATTGACCATATTCTAAAATTTGCATCAACCTCCACATAACAAAAGACAGATGCAGCATGTATACAAAACTATTACGCACAACAGACAAGTCAGTAAAATTATTTCGTAGGCCAAATGAAGCTAAATAGTAACTATGTTCAGTATAGAACATTACCTTAAGTTTCTTAATTTGATACGGACATCCAGCTGGAATGATGATAGCTTCTCCAGGATGTTGATCAAAGGACCAAGGTTGAATATCTGAAACCACCCGTGAAAAC